CCCCGTTTTGGTGGTTGGGGTCCGGACTTGGGGGTGGGGGGTCGCTTCGGCTCTGGCTCCTTCTGCTCCTTGTCTTTCCCCTTTTGTTCTACACACTTCCTCCCTTGCTGCCTGCTCCGAACCATAGGAGGGTTTCGGGGTTGGGGCGGGGTCTGGTTGGGTTGAGACTCGGGCGGTCTCGGGGGTTTCCTCTTCCGGGGTGGCGGCGGAGGCATTCGAGTCGGTTCCTCCAGCCATGCCGTATGGGTCTGACCAGTGAGCTCCCTTCCTTGGTGTTTGCATGGCTGCCCCGGCTTTTCCTTGTCAAGCTTTGGTTTTGGGGGTGCGGCTTGTCCCTAGGTCATGCCGTCAAGGTCCCAGGGGTTAGGGAGGGGTTGCCTGGGGGGACTTGGCCTCGTTTGCCCCTCTTGGGTCCTTGTACCTTTGGTGAGGGGCTGGCAGTTCCTCCGAGTGGGGTTGTTCCTTCCCTCTCTGTGTTCCTGTTGTTTTTGGGTATACCGCTCCCTGGGCTTGGTTCCGTATTCCTTCGGGTTCGTCGGTCCCGTCGTTCCTGGGGGTGTGTTTCGCCCCCCTTTTCCTTACCCTTTTCGCTCTCACGTTACGATACTTTTCCGGAAAAAAAAAATCAAATGTTTGTTCAGGAAAGGTACATTCAAACAAGGTGTGAAACACACGTTGATGTATTTATATATTGCCTTGTACATACAATGCCTAGACTACTTCGTATCATTGTCCCTGCATGTCCCTTGCTCAGGGGTGCTTGTTGTTGTTCTCATTGGTTTGCGAGTCTCTTCGTACCTTCCAATATTATTGGAATGTCTGTTGATTTTCGATGAGGTTTCCCTCTGGTCTTTTGTCGGCCTCGTTGGTTACCTTCATTCATCTGTTTTCTTTTGCTTTGTTTTCACCTTGTTTTGTTTTCGTGTTGTCTCTACTTCCATTTTCGGCATTCTTCGTCTTCGTTACGCACGCCTTCCTGGTGTTTGTATGATGTGTGTTTACGTTGTCTGTATGTTGTGTGTACGATATGTGTGTCCGCCTGGTGTACGAGCCACACCTCCCGGTGGACAGGTGGTGCGTTCGTACCTCGTGTGCTGGGGCCGCGGTGTGCGTTTTGTTTATGGGCGGTATACTTGTGTGTTCGCGTCGTTTCTCGTGGTTTGTCCACGACTTCTTGCTTGTTTTCTCCATCCGGTTGTGGCCCTCTGGATGCTGAGGGTGTTCTGGATTTATGTCTGGGGGTGTCACTTCGTTCTTCCTCTGCTTCCGGGTGTGGGATGGCTCGGCGTGGCGCCGCTTCTTCCCCCTCTGTCCTGCTCTGTCTTTTGCAGGGCACGCGCCTCTGGACGTATTTCTCCTCCGACTTCCAAATTTTATTCAGGTAATGGTACATTCCATGCCAACTGCCTTGAGTATGCTTGGCTTTCGGGCACACCATTAGCGCTCTCCTGGTATGTTACTTGGCTCGCCTGTGTTGTGGCACGGTCATGTGTCTGCTCTGCAGGTGAGGTTGTCATGTCTGGCGCTTCTGTCGGCCATGGGCTGGTTCTCATTTTTTGGTGGGGAGCTTGCCTAGTTGTGCTTGCGGAGGTTGAGCTCTGGCTCTTGGGCCCCGCCTCTCATGTCAGTTGACAGTTGTGCAGTTTCCTGAGCCTCCAGAGCTCTGTCTTCTCTACGGTTGCTCCTGTGGGTAGAGTCTGCCTCCACCACATAGCTTCTTAGTGCTCTCTGCTTCCTTTTCCCTCTGACATTGATCGGGTTCTTTTTCGTGTCTGTGGCTCCTTTGGGTACTCGGCTTCCTCCTCTGTCCCCTTGTGCATATGACCATACGGACATAAGACCAGAGGTACTGCAGAGGGCCTATTGGCCCGTACGAGGCAGCTCCTATTTCTTCCCAACCATTCCCGCTCACATACATGTCCAACCCACGTTTGCACAAATCGTGGGGCCCCACCACCACGTTATGCAGTAATTGGTTCCGTGAATCACCGAACCTGTTACCGTGCCTGTCATTCCTCAGGTCTTTCCTGATTCTACACTTATCCCTTTTATGCCCATTGTTTCGTGTCCAAAATGTGCTGCAAGGGTGGCATGTGCCTCTGTCCCAGTTCTTTTGTTTTGAGAAGATTGGTGACAATAAACACAACCACTCAGAGGCTACTTATGTTTTGTTGCGTAGTGGTATGTGGGTGTTATTTTGGCGGGCAATGGTGCGAGTTCAGTGCACTGGGAGTCGGTACAGTTTCTCGCAAGTGTCTGTTCTAGACCACACTTGCAGGTCGACTAGTTATTATTCGCTACTCTGCTGCTTCTATGCTCAGGCAATACCTCGCCATTCTCCAAAGGTGGGCAGGCATATTAACTGGAAGTTTGGAACAGTTTGAGTTCCATGATTGGTCCTCCGTAGAGCTTTGCTTCTCTTGTTAGGCTAATGCATTTGGAGCAAGTATCTTATTGGGATAATCTGCTCACTCCACCACTCTTGTTCACTGCTCCATCCTTGTTTACTCTTCCCCGCTTGACGGGATTGAGTCGATGGCTCCTAAAAGGGGTGTTTGGTATGGTGTGGTGTGTTTGGTCACTTTGCGTGGGTCTTCAGTGACTTTTGTCCCTGTCTTTTGTTCTTTGTTGTCCTGTGGGGCTCTGCCTCGCATTTTGACGCTTTTGGTTTCGTTGTCGACACCTGGGTCTTTTCCCTCTCGGGACAGTCATTCCTTGCCTAACTTCGGTGCCTGACTGCACCCTGCTGTCCATGAGGTCCATCGGGTATGTACACCCTCCTCTATACATTTTGTGGTTGGTGGTGTGCCTTATTTCCCGGCCGCTCCTTGGGCCGTATTCGGGGTTTTCCATACCTATTCCCATTTTTCCTCCTCCCATGCTCCACCAATTTGTGTATCTGGGTCAGTGCTTGTGGCCTATCCTGTTGTTTGGTGCTCAGGTGGGCCTCTGTCCATGTTCAGTTCCCTGCTTTTGGACTTCTCCAGTGTTCCGTTTTGGTACCGAGTTCCTATGATTTTCTGTGTGACTTCCTGCAGGCTTTCGGTGTTGCACTGTCTGTGGGGGGTTGTGGATTTTTGGTCTGCCACTCCTGCCTTTCTGGTTCCTTTTCTTGGAACTGGGTTTGCTGGGTTCCTGGCTCCGGTTTTTCTTTGTTCCTTTTCCGGAACAGGTGTGTGCTTTCCTGCGGTTCACGTCCTGGGTAGTTCTCCTCTTCGATGCCTCTGGGACGCGTGTGTCTTTCTTTCCTGTTGGAGCTGGTTATCTTGCTCCTTTGGGTTGCAGGGTTGCAGTTTTTCGATTCACATTTTGCGCCTTCGTTCATGGTGCTAGTTTCTCATCGTTTGTGTCGGCACTGGTGGGTTCCATATTGGTCTCCCACCTGCGTGTTTCGTCTCGGGGGCGGTGTTTGGTTTTCCTGGTGGTCTCTCCGGTTTTCCTATCACTGCAAAGGGTCCTTCGGTCTTTGATAGGGTTGGCTTTTCTTCCCTTTGGGGTTGTTCCGGGTCCGTCGTCTGGGCTCGTGTCCTGTCACCTCGTATTGGGTGGTGCTGGCGGAGCCGCTCCTGCTTGAGTTCGGTGTTGCGGTTCCTTCTGCTCCGTTCCACTTGCTGTCCTGGGCGTTGTTCCCCTCTGGCCTGCTCTTGAGTTCTGGTGCCGTCCTGGTAGTTAGCTTGGGGTGGTCTATTTTCTTCTCGTTTTGGTCTTTGTGTTGTCTGTGGTCTTGGTTTTTAGGTTAGGGCACATGGCATCTGCCTCCCGGTTCCTTCCCCGTTTTCCTTATCTGTGAAGAGGTAGCTCCGAGGAGCCGACAGGGCTCCCCCCAGAAAACCAGCGTTGAATGTAATAAAACGCCATTTTCTGGGTGAGCCCCGGAAGCTCCCCGGCATCCCTCACTCCCTCCGGTCGGCGGCATTTTTCACGTATTTTGACATCCAGCCTAAGAACTGCCAGTTGGATCGCCGACATGGAGGGTCTGGGGCTCCCCCTACCCCTCCTGGGGAGGGGGGGGGGTTGCGTAGACGGTGGCGCAGCGATGTGATGACGTCATGCTAGTTAGATAATTTTGTTTGGGGAGTTCTGTCCACTCGTTCGGCTTTCGGTAGCAATATTTTTACCAGAATAGGGGTTTGTTTTGGGGCGCCTACCTTTCTGGGTGCCTATCCCGGTCGATGGCAGACATAGAATGCTCCCAACCACAAGGGGGGGGGGGTTTCTATAGGCCATTGCTCCTCGTGCCTCTCTGAGGGGGCCAGGTTCTGGCTCGTGGTCCTCGGTAGGCAAGAACTCCTAGCACTTTGACTGATGCCAGAAAGTTATACATATCCATTCAGCCTGGATAGCTCCGGGGAGCCTCCGGGGTTCACCCAGAAAATGGCGCATCATTACATTCAACGCTGGTTTTTTCTTATAGAAGTGTTCCCTGATCACAGGGGGAAAACAAAAATCATAGATGGCATATTTTGGCTGCAATAAAGTAAGGAAGTCTGGTAAAATTGAGGTGCTGACAGCTGAGCTCACAGCAGTGCTGTGAGCTCATGTTGCATGTGCCAGCCTTGGTTGCTCACTCAGTACTGAGGCTCTCACACTCGGGAATGTTGCCCGTGATTTTTTTTTTTAAATGGCATCTGTTTACAAGAGCCCTGAGGAAGCTGATATCAACCCTGTGTAGCTATGGGACCTTCAAATCTTGCGAGGTACTCCAACACATCAATAGCTGTGGTGTGCAATTCTGCAGCAGTTACTCATTACAGCTATTGATGTGTAGTGCAGTTTAAAGGTTAATAAACAACATCAAGTTTTTTACACACTTGCAGGTGGTTGAGTTCAATTTATACCAACAAATGACAAAGGAATGGAATATTAATTTATAATTTCTTAATAATACCTTTCCTCTCTGGAATGTTAATTAACTTACTCATACAGTACAGCAAATGGAACTCAATTATACAAAATTCATGAAAAAACTAACAAAAACATCAAACAAAATGAGCACATACCCTGAATAGAATGCCAGTTGCCATCACACAGCACCCAAGGGTGTGTTGGAGTATACTTGGCAGTGATAATACCTTTGCCATTGTCAACACTGAGTTCAACACTTCCATTTCTTAACTGCAGAATCACAAAATCCCGCCTGCCATGAACAGAGGCAATGACACCGCTATTTACTCTTGGCTTTATGTCTAGTGTCATTTCAAACACTCTACCAACACTGAATCGCTTGCCTGAAAAAGAAATATGCACAATTTGTTCAATAGAAGCAGGCTTGTGCACACTAGTGTTCCTAAGAAGAATATCTTGCATGTGCTAGAAAATAATGAGGGGCATGGTAGTGGAAGACCTAGAGAAAGTCTTGCATGAGTTCTACAACAGAATAACTGAGGTCAAACAAGGAAGGGAAGGGTTGGGTACACTGTACATTCCTAGACTGCAAAGAATGCTTTGATGCTGTCCCCAACAACATGCTATTAAAAAAGCTGAAGGAACAAGATTCAGTAACTGGTATTATATGTTAGATTACTTAATGAGCAGAATACAGGGAGTAAAAGATAAATTGGAAAGGAGGAGAATAATAAGGTAGGAACCATATGGCCTAGCTTGTGTACCTGATGTATGATTGGAGCACATAAGATGAAGACAAAGAACTAAGCAGGGAAAACAAAATGGGTGAAAATATGAGGGGTAAGCAAGTAAAAAATTTAAGATTATAAGATTTGAGAATAGTACAGCACAGTTATTGGCTCATCAAGACAGCTGTTTATAAAAACTCAAATTCACACATATATATATATCTAACCTATGCATGAAACAATCCAGCCATGAACAAATTCACATAGGCTGTGATGAGGATTTGTTCATTTGATGCATCACACAATTGTGATTTCTGTGTGTAATCCAGCCATCGCACATCTGTTATGCTACCTGGTAATCTGTTAAATAAATCATTCGGCTCTTTTCTAAATTTAAACTTATCTACTTTGGGGATGACAGTTGAGAAATGCACCAGGCCCAGAGCCAAGCTCCACAACATTCTCTTGGAGCCCCTCAGAGTGAAGCTCCACAACGGTCAAAAACTGCATGGCTGACTCCAAATTCGATCAAGCCTGAAAGTCTTTTGCCAAGACGGCTATCTATCGACAGGAAAGGAACTTGGTCATGGAGCTGGACCAAGGCCCTCATCCCCAGATTGAGCAGATGCATAAAGACAGGCCACCCAAAAGTACCTGAAACAAAGTCGCTACCTCATGCCACTCTAGTGTACGGGAATGACAGACGCCACAAAGAGCCGGTGGCGGCTCTTCTCTGCCACCTGCGCACCACTGCTTCTGTGTCTGTGGATGCACTTTGGGTGGACCCGGTATACCTCGTGAAATTTTCCAAGGCTCGGGATTCTCAGGTTGTCCACAGGGTTATTAAGTCTAGCAGAAGTTTGCAGTTCTTGCTGCGGTCTTTGGTAACATGTCTTGGGGTTACATTCAGGCACTGGGGTTTTGGTGTTTGAACAGAGTCTTGGCTGCCCATTATTTGGTTAATGTTCTGGGTCCTCAGCAACCATGTGTGGCTTCGGGGCGCCTGTCGCGGTCAGCTGTCTCGTCTTTGGCCTGAGGGGATGCGGTGCAGCCGCCTCCCGGGGTAAGTCCCTGTTTTACATATCAATGGGTATCTAGCTCCAATGAGCCGGGGAAGGGGAGGGGGGGGGACCCCCAAAAAAACTAGTGTTGAATGTAATGAAATGCCATTTTCTGGGTGAGCCCCAAAGGCTCTCTGGCACCCTCTCTCCTTCCGGTCGGTGGTCATATTTTCATTTGCTCAGTCTCCGAATGGGTGGGTGAGCAGTCAGATCGGATGAGAAGGGACCCCGCCTTCCCCCTCCCATGTGGATGGGGGAAGGGGCAAACAAGATGTGCGTTGAATTTGATGACATTTTGCTTATTGCATTTTTTGTTGGGGGGAGTTCTTGGACTCTGTTCGGTTTTGGGTTGCAATGTTCTACCAGTTAGAGTTTGTTTTGGGACACCTACCTTTCTGGGTGCCTTTTATGGTCGATGACAGACATGAATATACAGTGGCCCCTCCATTTACAAATTTAATCCGTTCCCAGAGACAGTTCGTAACCCGAAAATTTGCAACTTGAAATGAATTTCCCATAAGAAATCATGTAAATTGAATTAATACATTCCACACTCCCAAAAATATTAACTTCAAAATACATTTCATACCAAATAAACAAAAATATTTAGTACTATAATATGTACAAGTTATAGCTTACCTTTATTGTTGGCGTATGGAAGACGGTGAGGAGGGGGTGGGAGGAGGAGGAGGAGGAGAGGTGTTAGTGATTAGAAGGGGAGTCTCCTTCCATTATAACATCAGGCAGTGATGACTTCTCTGGGGTACTCTCTCTCCTATGTTTTGCCTGCATACCACTAGGACCTGGATGTGGCTCACTGCTTGTGTGTTTCACTAAGAACCTTTCCATAGAGACTTGTTTTCCTCTATGGTTATCCTAACATGTGTTTTCTTATGTTGAACCTTACTACTGACTTTCTTGGAACCCATGGCATGATATATAATAATTACTTTTATGTTCAAAACCTAATAAAGCAGAAAAACACTGAAATTCTTTACAAAGAATTCAAGCGTGATTATCACTAAGCGGGAGGCACTGGTAAACTGAAGCGCAGGCGACCATGACACCAGGACCAACACGCTAGGTCGCCCATACATGTATCAACAAACTATGTAACTAAAGGCAAAGCTCGTAACCCAATTCAAATTTTACAAAGAAATTGGGTTCGTAATCCAAAAAATTCGCAGAGGGGCATTCGTAAGCCAAGGTGTCACTACTCTCAAAGAGTGGAGTATTCATAGGCCATTGCTCTCTGCACCTCTCTGAGGGAACCAGGTTCTAATTCGTGGTTCCCAGTAGGCAAGGACTCTTATGTGACTGATGCCCCAGACTAATACAGTATAGCATATATCTGTCCAATAGCTCCAGGGAGCCTCTGGGGCTCACCCAGAAAATGGCATTTCATTATATTCAATGCTGGTTTTTTACAAGCATAGTCAACATTCCATAATTCTAGGTTGCAAAATATTATTTCATCAATATATTTCAAGTGTGTTGAAACTTGCGCGATAAAGCATTAGCACAAGGTACATTTTTAAAGAATATTTCAGGTTCTACATTGGCAGAATTGCAGATAAGGCTGTAAGCTTTATGTGTAATACCTACCTGCTGGTTATTCTTGCAGAAGCATAGACAACATTTCCTAATTCTAGGTTGCCAAATATAATGTTTCTGCAGTATGTTTCTGTGAATAATTCCATTTCTCCTACACTACCCATAAACATTGGTGTTCCACAGGGCAACATACGTGGCCCCTCTCCACTTTCTCATCTACATTAATGACCTTTCAAATGCCTCTCAACACCTCAAACCAATCTTATTTGCTGATGATACAACTTTCATTTTCTCCAGTCCTGACCCGCTTGCTCTAAATGTCACTGTGAATACTGAACTAAATAAAGTCCATCTTTGGCTAACTGCTAACAAACTCACCCTTAACACTGACAAAACTTTCTATATTTTGTTTGGTAATAAATCCTCAAATAAAATTAATCTAAGAATAAACAATATACAAATCAGTAGTAAAGTTAATGGTAAATTCCATCGTGTTCTCATCGACAACAAGCTGAATTTCCAGGAACACATTCTAAATATATAAAAAAAAACAGCGTTGAATGTAATGAAACGCCATTTTCTGGGCGAGTCCCGGAGGCTCCCCGGAGCTATCCCAGGCTGATATGCTAATGTCAGACTTTGGCATCAGTCATGTGTATGGAGTTCATAGGCATACTGAGGACCACAGCCAGAACCGGGCCCCCTCAGAGAGGCAAGGGGAACAATGGCCTATAGAAACCCCTGTGTGGTTGGAAGCATTCTATGTCTGCCATCGACCGGATCAGGCACCCAGAAAGGTAAGCGCCCCAAAATAAACCCCTATTCTGGGTAAAATTGCTACCAAATGTCGAACAAGTGGATAGAACTCCCTAACAGAAAACGAGCAAACTAGTATGATGTCACACGTCGCCGCGCCGCTATCTGCGCAGCTCCCCCCTTCCCGGGAGGGGGAAGGGGGAGCTCCAGACCTTTCACGCCGGCTACCCACACCTCAGTTCTGAGGCTGAATGTCAAAAGCATGAAAAACCGTCGACGGTTGGGAGGGAGGGATGCTGGGGAGCCTCCGGGACTCACCCAGAAAATTGCATTTCATTACATTCAACACTGGTTTTCTGGGGGGAGCCCCGTCGACTCCCCGGAGCTAACTACCCACAGACGGAAAAAAGAGGGACTTACCCGAGAGGCGGTCATCGCTTGCTCCTCAACTCGAAGTCAAGATAACTGGCTGCAACCGCCAACTGCCAACCCAAAGCAACACATGCCTGACGGGGCTCAGGGACATTCACAAGGTAGCGAGCAGGCAGAACCCTGTTCGACCGCCAAAAACCCCGCGTCTGAATATCAGACCAAAACATTCCCAAAGACGGCAGCAAGAGCCGCGAACTTACAGACGTCATGGGCATGGGGATATACCGTAGGCTGGCTGGATTTGACAACCCTGTGGACGACCACAGGGAGCCGGTCGGCCGAGCGGACAGCACAGTGGACTTGTGATCCTGTGGACCCGGGTTTGATCCCGGGCGCCTGCGAGAAACAATGGGCAGAGTTTCTTTCATCCTCATGCCCCTGTTACCTAGCAGTAAAATAGGTACCTGGGTGTTAGTCAGCTGTCACGGGCTGCTTCCTGGGGGTAGAGGCCTGGTCGAGGACCGGGCCGTGGGGACACTAAAGCCCTGAAATCATCTCAAGATTACCTCAAGATAACCTGACCTGGGAGACCCGAACCGGCGAACAGAGAAGAAGGGAAACTGGATCAACCCAAAGCGCGTCTCCGGACACAGAAGCCATGGCGCGCAAATAATGGTGAAGCGCCGCAACTGGACACAAAGCATGATGCACCCCCGGCCGTACTAACTAAGCATCAACCACCTGCGGACCCCTCTGGAACGCAGCAGTCTCATTCTTCCCCAGAAAAGAGGGAGACGGCTGCAAGCGAACAAAACAATCTCCACGACCGAAAAAGCAGAAACCCCTGTGCCGGAGGAGAGCATGAAGCTCCCCAACTCGACCCCCCAAAGGCTAATGCCAACAAGAAAAGAG